TCATAGCGCAGAGTGGAGAGCTAACCTAGATTAGCACAGTCTGCTAAGTAACAGTCTAATGTAACAGCAGTGCTCATAGCCCAGAGTGGAGAGCTAACCTAGATAAGCACAGACTGTTTAACTTCAGCGTAAGTTAAAATGCCCCACCCTCCCCACAGAGCCAGTGTCGGATCCACAGCTTACGGCCTTACCCAGCACCGGAAACGTGGTTGAAGGAAAAGAGCTAATCCTCTTCTGCCCTGTCAAAGACGGCTCCCCTCCCATCACCTTTAAATGGTACCATAACGGGAAGATCATCAATAGCAGCACCACGGAAGAGAGGAAGCACAGCTACACTTTGAGCAAAATAGAGCACAAGCAGGGGGGGAGGTATTACTGCCAGGTTCAGAATACTGACATGGAGAGCCGGCGGAGCGGGGAAATCACAGTAACAGGTAAGATACATGGCCAGTCATACACAGACACACACATGATGCTAAAAGTTCATCCAACTGCACAGATGCAGACTCACGCAAACGTATGAAATATGCTCACGAAATTTGCAGTGCATGTTTCAGCAGGTCCAGAATTTTCCATATGCTTCACCCGACCTAAATGATCAATGTCCGATAGATGATCAGAGACCATACAGATCCTGCATCGGCTGTATGTGACCTGGCTTCCTACTGCTTCTCCATTTTCCGTGTCTCTTTGGGTTTGCTGTCTGCTGGATGGCACAATTCCACCTGCACTCCAAGCCAGGGAGATGCACCAAGCGTTCATGCACACGCAGCAGATATGTTCCAGATTTTAAGATTGCTAGCTACCAAATTGTTTTTAGTAACGTTTAGCACTGAAGGCTTGACAACAGAATAGTACAACTTCATGTATGTATCAGACCATTTCCTCAGGCTGTATTCTTGCTCCTGCTGTTTGTTAATCAGTTTTGACTGAAATGAATGACTTTGCATTACAGTGAAAGATGCCCCGTGGAAGATTGCCATGATTGCCTTCATCATAGTTCTACTGCTCAGCATCGTCACGGTTTCCTTGATCCACTACATACATAAAAAAGGTAGAGAAGCATGTGATCCCTTCATACCAATAGGAAATGTATGAGACGGGTCCCACTGTTCTAGGATGATGATTTGAAGAGAGACACTTTTAATAGGCTTTATGGGAGACATGAGAGTCAAACCTCAGACACCAGGATACTGAGCAGGAAGCCACGGAGGCAGCTTGTGCATGAAGGACTGCTCACTGGTGGATTTTTTAAAGGTGGGGGGGCTCAAGGGGGGGGGGGGCATAATTCATGCAGAGGGACTAACCTTATCATTAGCCAATGATACAATTTGAATTGGCAGATGACCCCTCGCACTCAGGGAGCCAATCAGCTTTCAGCTGGGCCTACTGCCCCTGTGGCCCCACCCCTCTATACACCCCTGCTTGCCTGAAATCATGTTTACAGAGTTGGGATGTTTTGGTGAGAGATTTTCAGGACATAAAGGGAGTTAAAAGCCAGCATTTGCTGTGGGTCAGTAGCCATTGTACATTTACATTGTTACACTGCATAATAAATTATTGTTTTGTTGGAGATTCCACATCTCCACCTGAAGTTCCACATCTCCACCTGACTCCATACCTTTCTCTCTTCCCATCTCCACTGCAGGCAAGAGAAAGGAGAAAGAAACCGAGCTCTATCTGTAAGCTGAACATCGATTTGTTTTTAATTTGTAGCAAAAAATACCATCCAATTGCACTATTTAGGGCTGCCAGCTCTCCCGCATCTGGTGTCCATGCAGCATCCATTCAAACCAATAAGACATAATAATTCTTGCTTTGCTGGGTTGTGTAGCTCCTGCCCCTATATAACTTATACCTGGATATTCACTGGAAGCTCAGCCTAGCTGCACTTATGCCTGATTGACTCCTTGACAGCATGTGGTATTTGCCTCACTTGAACGTCGCTTTGGACAGAAAAGTATCCGATAAACACAAAGAAATGTAAAAAGGTAATAATGAAATTGTGGCATTGTAGCAAGCATGAAAATGATGTCACTTCCTGTTTCACAGCAAGGCAACAAAGTTCAAATCAGACGCCTCTGTAGCTGTAACTCCTGCCTGCACAGGATATATCAAAGGTAACCCTTGGCTCTTTTTCATTATGGTCGTTTGTTGCCAAAGAAACCCAGCCATGTATATAAAACGGAACGTCCCTCATTCCTGCATGACCTCCTCCTCTGCTAGCGTCCCATACAGTCCTGAGTGACCATGTGGAACCACCCGCCTGCCAGTCGTCCAGCTCCACTGTCTTTTACGCTCCTCGGGGAACAGAGAGCTCAGACGACGTCTTGCTTAAGGACCAGAAATCACCACGAGAAGGTTGTTTGTTCAGTTTCTGTATTCACTTAATTCACACCTGAACTAAAAAAACACAAGGAACGGGATGACCAGCACCGCCTGCTGGCCAAACGGGGAAGGGACACAGAGTGGAATAGGAGCTGGTTGCTGCGGGAAAGTTCTGTACTGAATAGCAGTGTGACCATCCCAGCCTCACACGTATCTCCCAGTCTCACACATACAGTATCTCCCAGTCTCATTCTCACACCGGTTTCCTGGTCGCCATATGGGAAAACTCTATTTTATAAAAATCGGTGACTGCTATGAAAAAACTAAAAATGCAAAAACTCTTGTATTTTGTTTGGTTACTTATGCTTATGGTTAGGGCAGGGTAGGGGTTACGGTTGTCATAGTTAGCGTTAGCATTTTTCCCATTGAAATGAATGAGTGGTCCCCATAAAGATATGTTTACCCTACATGTGCAAGCGGGTGTGTGTGTGTGTGTGTGTGTGTGTGACAAGTTAGCCCATTTCCCCCCAGTTGAGCTGGTTATCCCCTTGGCATTTCCACCTTGCCTGAGTGCTGTGCGTGAGGATGGTCTGTGTGATGAAGTCACAGCCCATACAGGGTGTCCCCTGCCTTATGCAAGGTGCATTCTGGGATTGGGTCCAGGCTCATCGGCACCTGTTTACACTGTGGCTGAAATAAAGAATAGATTAAGTTTTCCATCAGGATCAATAAAAGTTCTGTCTCTCTGTCTGACTCCATCCATCCATCCATCCATCCATCAGAGTTACACCCTTTTGCAGTCTTACTGTTCTGCTATATGCATGTTTTTTTTTGTTTTTTTTTGAGAAATGCTCTTATAGTCGTGAGAATGTTAAGCATGTTTCATGAAATGTGTCGAAGCAATCGAGAAACACTGTTACGCGGGCCTGTTTGGTCCCCTCCTGGAGTGAATCTTTCGTGTTCACCACAGAGGTCATGGTAATGAACAGCAGGTAACGTTCTCTTCCTGAACTTGACTTTTTTTGTTTTTACAGGTGCTGTTGACACTGTAAGTGAAGGGAATGGCTGACTTCCTTATTGTAGGAAATCTTACATGATGAAGGTCCCCCTTGGTGACTGTGTCCTCTACTAGAAACGTCTACAACATGCAAAGAAACTTTATTACAGCTGTAGCCAGTTTGTTAGATTTTGTGGATATTGTTCAATCTAGTGTTTAAAGGCCGTAAAAGGAAGGGTGGTGGTTGTCCCAGAGGTCTGTACTGGTTTTGTTACTCATTTCCTAATCACGCTGATTAGCCATAACATTTTGTGATTGTGCTTCCGCAGATGGGAAACCCTTCGCTGGGGAGGGTGTGGTCTGAATTACAGGATCTGTTTGTGTTTCTCTTACAGGGCTCTGTTCTGTATGCCCAGCTAAACCATGACAGAGGGAACCCAAAGCAGATACCTTCTCCACCATAAGAGTCAGGAAGCTGTTTGCTATCTGCTCATCTGTGATGTCTTGGCACGTGTGAGAAATGTGTCAGTATCTCTCCAGACAACTTCTGTTTATTTCTGCAATAGGCTGGAACCTCAGCTCTTCTCAGATGCTTTGGCGCATCCTCAACATTCACAAAGCAGTATCTGCATTTCTTCAAGTACTGCATACAAACATCACCACACAATGGATGAAAAGCCATGCAAAAACCAGGGACCGGTTGCGCAAAACACCTCGACTTAAGATTTCCCTTAAAGTCCAAAATAATATTTTGCACAGAACACCCTTAAGTCTTTATGGTTTCCTTAAAATGTTCACTTACATATTTAAGCTTTTGTCCATTTCTTGGTCTTATACTTCCCTTAACGTTGCACAAAAGACCTTAACAACTAAAGTAAGGAAAATAACTTTAGGTACCCCTGACTGTGTCTTAACCTCAACATGGCTGAGTTTATGGCGATAAATGAAGAAAATGAAGACATCCAGAGAAGAGTGTCCCGTGACTGGAAGTGTCCCATGAATACGATTAATGGTGATCAATTGATTTTACCTGACCGACAGTCAGTTTATGATTTTCATGAATATTTTATTTACATGTTTAAAAGTCATTTTTAAATCTGGCTAGCACATCGATCTTTCGATTGCACAGAATAAATAACAATGTAACATTATCTCACTGATAAGTTCTGTCAAGTTTCACCCTGGGCACCGGCAATATTAGACAGAAGTACATTGGTTATGCAACAAGTTTTCTGATTCAGAAACATGCAAAAATGCATTTTATGTAACAGAGATACAACAATAATTCTATCTGCTCCACTACTTCCCTTTTCCCAATACCTCCACGGATCTCCCAAGTTAGCGTTGGTGTTTGTCGTTAGCCATTCAGCAAAGTTTACCGCTATATGCTCCCCTGAGCGAAAAAGTACCTACTGTACTCACAGTGAACACAATACAGTAAGGAGCACAGTGGATGTGGAAACGCCAGTAACTGTTAGTTCCGCTTTGCGCTTTACGCTTTGCATTAGATCATCAAATAGAGCCGATTGTCTATAGATGATTACGTCACATGAATGTAGAGTGCTGACTTTTCATTGGTTTGTAAAAGGCAAATAAACATAATTTATGCATTTCAGGAGTATTTATTTGTGAAATCTCTTTTCTACATGTCATTAATTATGGATAAAAGGTGTTACTAATCTATATAAACAGGTAAATATTGAGGTGAGCCTAGGAGACTCTGCAAATAAGGTTGGAGACAAATAGCCCCTTTGTCGAGGGAACAAGAGGACAGAAGACAAAAAAGGGATTCATCCTGCAGTATTCTCACCTACAGGTAGGGGGCAGCAGTCCATTCAGGCTGGTCCATGGTTACCAGCAGCCATAATTTCCATATACATATAGTTTATTTTGCCCTGTGATGGACTGGGAGGTACCCCAGCCTTGTGGCCTCTGTTGCTCTTGGACTGTCTGGTATTACAGACCATTATGTAGATCAGTGTTTCCCAATCCAGTCCACAGGGACCCACAGCAGTCTACGTTTTTGCTGAATGTGTCTGGCAGAAGCCGGGAGGGAGGGGACTGACTGCAGGTCCCTTAGGACTGGATTGGGAAACACTGCTGTCGATGTTAAGCAACTGTAGATCCCACGGTATAAGAATGTGCTTCCTTTGTCCAGCCTTCTAAAGGACACTGTAGGATCCCTATAATGCAGCCGCTGTAGACTTTTTATTTCTTGCTGCTCAATTTCGGAAAGTGCCGTTCCTGTCAGGACGGATACTGGTTTAGTGTCATTCGCTACCCATTCGCTTCCTCACTTCATTTCCTAATCTGATCTGACCCTGAGACTCCAGCTGCACCAGTAGCCGGGCTACTAAAATTGGCATTCTGAGCTGCGTGCAGTGCATTCTGGGAACGTCCTGTAACTGCCTGTTCCAACATGTAGCTGTCAATTAATCATTACACGAGACGTTAAAATCATGAGATTTTCTCGTCCTCAATTAAAAAGACACACGGCTTTGCTTCAGGCAAATTAGGCTTCAAATAAAATAGACTGCATTTAAAGAGTAATAAAAATAGTAGGATTGCCAGTAATCACAGGTCGAAAAAATAAACTTTTTTCGAAGTATCTCATAGGGTCATTTATCCCTCAATATGGCTGGGTGATAATATGTGAATGTGTGCCCTGCGATGGGTTGGCCCCCCATCCTGGGTTGTTCCCTGCCTTGCGCTCATAGCTTCCGGGATAGGCTCTGCACCCCCGCAAACCTGAATAGGATAGGATAGGAAAATGGATGGATGGATGGATGGATTCTTTTTTCCACAGTTGAAGCCATGACCTTGTCAGTATTTACCTTTGGTGTGACAGCAGTGATTGTCTGTAGCATTTGGTATGTTTTGTAACACTGGTCACTGTAGTGATTTGTCGCCATAATATCATATTAACCCTGTATCGGTTGTTTGTTTAGGAGTCAGCTAAGAAGAAGCAGGGCAGATTCCTTCTCTGAACAAGATCCTTGTGAAATTGGGCTCAAATTGGTTGATTTGGAAATACTGAGAACAGGTGAGAGTCAATCTGGAGCCCAAGGGCGTCGATTTGGGTATAGATGGCTGGGACATGTCCCCCCCCAATACTGTGGGGGTAAAAAATGGCTTTACCAGAAGAAAATGAAAGCTTTGGAATGGCCCACCCAGAGCCCAGTCCTAAATCCGACTGAAAATCTGTGGGGTGACCTGAAGAGGGCAGTGCACAGGAGACGCCTCGCAATCTGACAGATCTGGAGCGCTTTTGCCAGGAAGAGCGGGCAAATATTGCCAAGTGAAGATGTGGCGTGCTGATAGATTCCTACCCAGAAAGACTGAATGCTGTAATTAAATTAAAAGGTGCTTCGACAAAGTATTGGTTTGAGGGTGTGCACACCAGCTTACTGTGTATTTTTTAATTTTTTGTATTTTTCCCCCTAACAGATTAGTTTGTTTTTCAATTGAATTGCACCAGTTATTGGTCACATTAAAGGTGGGAAAAGTGAAATGATTTTCCTGGTCTTGTTTTTTTTTTTTAACATCACAAGAACCCGGCATTTTAACAGAGGTGTGGACGCTTTTTATATCCACTGTAAGCAAACCACAGACATTCATCATCCTTCACTATCTCGGTCTAATTGCAGGGGCGCCACTAGAGACTTTGGGCCCCATGAAAGCATCAGGCCCCCAACCCTGACCGACCCAATGATGTTTCAACCACCCCCCCTCGCCTCCATTACAGCGCCCCAGTACAGATATCCAAGAAAGAAGAGACAGTCTGATGTGGCATATAGCTCATGTATTTATGTTTTGTGAATCTATAGATTTGATGTCTATACAGTAATGAAGCAATCTGTGGAAATGTAGGAAAAATGCCAATGAATTCACAAAATATTTTTTGTTCTTATTCAAAAAATTACAAGGTAAACTGGTACACAAGAGAAGAGTGAGTCTGATTATTGTTTTGTAACAGGGATCGAGGTTCTTACAAATGAAAGCTGATCACAAGCTCAGATGCACATTTAGTCGACTCACTGGCTGGGTGGCGACTGTCGGGTGAAGACTGGCCGTCTTCAGCTGGCTGTGGCTGGTACCACAGGACTTCCTGCCTTTACCATCATAAACCAGCGTGGTCGCCCTTTTCTGGCTGACATGCAGACCCACAAGACACCAGGGCTCACCCCCCCCCGTCCTGATTCACTATTCAGACGTTCTTCTCCGAAAGCTGGACAGCATGCGGTCCGTACGCGCTGTTCCCGCCGAGGCTGAGAATGCGAAGCGCCTGATGTCACCTCAGGATGTTATGACATAACCTTACTGTCATTGCAGTGACTGGGGCCAAAGCCAAAGCTGATCACTTTCATGACCTGGAGTCTAATTCCAAATCCAAAGGTTACCAGTGGTTAATGCCTTGGGTTTTCATTTGTGTAGATTCATGTGCAGCGGTCAATATATATATATATTTAACAGATGACTTGTGAATTTTGTGTAATGATGTGAAATTGCATAAAAAATTTCATTAACATTTAATGTGTGCCACGCCCACCTCATTACCTCGTGTTCATCCCTGATTGTTCTCACCTGTTGCCTGTTCCGTTTGCCTAGTCTTGTGCATTTAGTCCGTGTCTCAGTGAGTGTACGCCAGATTTGTCATTGACGTTCGTCTGTGTGCTTCCCCCGGTCCTGTTTCCCTGATTAAAACCCCGTTAATTTAACTTCCTGGCTCCTTTTCCCTGTTTCCCTGCTCGCCTCCTTACCGTGACGTGACATAATGTAGTTGAATTACGTATTGCTAAATGTAAAGCACAGATATTACAAAATGTGAAAAACAAAATATATACAAAATTAAATATATTATAGTGAAAAAATGAAGATCTATGTCTGTCTCATTTGTGTCAGCATCCTCTGCAGTTTAAGAGCAAAACGTGTGGTGGATCATCAAGGCCAATGGGAACGAACCCCCCCCCCCACAGACCCCTACAAGGGTCCCTGAATTACAGCCAGTACCAGCAGGGAACCTTGAATATGTCATCCATCCATTCGTCTGTCCATCCATCCATCCATCCCTTCATCCATCCGTCCATGCACGCGTCCATGCATGCGTCCATCCATCCATCCATCCCCCATCTGCTAACCGCTGACCCTGGTCAGGGTCATGGGGCCCCAGAGCGTATCCTGTAACCCTATCCCAGCTTACACAGACGTACACATAAACAGCTTGAGCACAGAGGCTTTTCCTGCCACACAGCTGCTACTCTGGGCTGCTCCGTCGCCCCCGGTAACATTGCCCTGACCCTTGTGGGCGGAGTGTATAGCTAAAGTCAGGGCTGCATTCTCAAGCCTAGCATAGAAACAGCAGGGAGCAGCCAGCTAAAGGTAAAAGCCCAGAATATGCCCTGGATAATCCTGTCTGTGATCCTGCTGGGACCATAGGAAGGAATGGGATTCTTACAGGGGATCTGCTCCATGGCTTCTGCATTTTCAGAACTGAATCGCAGAACCCTTTAATAGAACCCTTTGGGTTCTCAAAAACACATACGGGTATTAGACTTCCTGAGGGAACTACCCTGCAGTTTTAGCTTATATAACACAGAGGTTAGATCTGTAAAAAGGTCTCTCAGAGATTCACTAAGGCTGGCCACCTACAGAATCGTTGTTCACAGGCCTCATTGCCTCAATCAACAGATTTCTGGAGGTCAGGATACTGGTAGGGCAGGGATAATTACCTTCCAGGTCAACAGAAATGTGTGTTATTACTACTTTGATCTGATACCTAAACCAATCTTATACAAATTGCCCTGCAACTTCCTTTTTTTCACCAGTAAATATGCAATACTCAGTCATAAGGTGAAAGCGTATTTATACGGCTTAATGTGGTTCACAGGCAATGTTTTTCCATCTATCTATCCATCAGCCATCTTGTCCAGAGAGGTTGGATCCTCTCCCTGGAAGCCCAGTCCACATTGTACACAGGGACGGATTACGGACCGGGCCAGCGGGGCCGCTGCCCAGGGGCCCTTGGGGTGCAGGGGGCCCGTGGGGCCCCTAGCCCAAAACAATTTGCAACGCTTATCAACAATGTATTTTCGTTTGTCTATTTTAGAGGGCCTACATTCTTTGATCCTCTGCCTACAAGGGCCCCTGACCCTACAGGGCCTCTGATGGAAACATGGAGGGAGGGCGTTTGGCTGCCAAGGGCCCTTGAATTGTGGTGGGTGGTGGTGGGGGGGGGGGGGGGGGCTCGCGAACGTTTTGCACAGGGGCCCACACAACCCATAATCCGTCCCTGATTGTACAGTGATTATATAAGCAGCAAACATAACTAACCCCTCACCTTCCATTACAGATGATTATACCCTCATTCATTACAATGTGCTGGACCAGCATGCTTTGCAGGATGTTCCCTAACTTGGGGCGCATCCTCCAAGCTCCTTGTGTCCCCGTACTGCAGTGTTTCCCAACCCATTCCCATAGGGAGCAAAAATGTGGACTGTTTGATAGGGAGCTGGGAGGGAGCGAAAACGTGGACTGTCTGTGGGTCCCTGGGCACTGGGTTGAGAAACACCGCTGTACTGGGTAATAGGCTGTGGAAGACAGGTGGGTAGATGCTGTAATGCCCATGTAATGGAAACATCTAACTAAATACAAGTGAGAGTGCAGAGGACTCAATTCTTAAGTCAATCAAGTCTCTGTCATCCCTTGACGCCTGAAATTTTTTCATTGCTCTATCATTGCTTGAGAATTAAGCTAAAACATCAGAATCCCTCTCATTCTACATAGCACAGTATTGTACAGTGCTGTGTAATAATGTACAATGTACTTCATTATTACTGAATTTAACGTTGGTAATATGTTACCGCACATAATTAATCAGTTACCATATGTAAGTACATGAAAGTCACGCTATATATGGGATCTGTTGGTGATTCGCTGTTATCCGCGGTTTCAGGAATCGGCGGTAGGTCTTGGAACGTATCACCCGCAGATATGGGGGGGCTAATGTACAAGTATACAGTGGCACAAAATAATGTTCCCCCAGGACCACGGTGTGACACACAAAGAGCAGGTGACAAGGGAAAATGTGCAAAAACACAGGAGCACCCGTTTCCCTGGACTGCAGATGAAAACCGCTTTGCGCTCTTTTGTGAGCCACGCTAATGAGCCAATGAACTGATGAACCTCCATGCAGCAAAGGCAGGGGAACAGGGGAGGGACTGAGGAGATGCCCTGGGTCAGGGGTGGGTAATTCAGGTCCAGAGAGTGGTTGAAACAAAATTTTGGTCTGGACTTTTATTCTCTGGACTGGAATTTCCCACCCAGGATCAGGAGTGCCAGTTTTCATGTTGGCCTCCTTAGGTAAGAAAGCTACACATTGAGCATTTTAGGCCAATCAGCTCTGGTGCAGAAGGTCACCCCCTCAAGCTGCACTTCTACTAAGGAGATACCTGTGTGAGCTCAGAGTTATCAAACTAGCCCCCCCCCCCCCCCCCATTGAACTTTGACCATGGTATTTTTGTATTTTTGCAGCCAGGAGTCCAGCCACATGACTATTTAGCCACCAGCTACCCCCCATCAAACGCCGTGATCCTGGGGAGGCTTCCAAGCCCTCGTCCACGAGCCTACAAAAACACATCAACAAGACTGGTGTTTCCCTCAGAGTTAGGGGTTTCTCAGTGCTTGGGAGCCTAACAGCCCCGAAATCATGCAGGCTATGCCGTGCACGCTGGGTCAGATGGCCGGCAGTCTCATTTTGCAGGCTGGGTTACCCAATTTAGTTTGAGACGGCCGCACGTGATTCCGTCGGGACTGGAGAGGCAGGCCCTGTTCCGGCAGAGGGCTATTCTAGGACTGCCTTGATTCCTACGTGGAAATGGACGGTGTTTCATTGGAGAGACTGTAAATTCCCACAGTGACCAGGAGCAGAGTGTCGACTAATAGGCCAGAGCATTTAGACAGCAAAGCTGCTTCGTATATTGTCTTTTTATAAATATAGTATTCTGGGAAACACTTTACATTAACTGAACCCTCATAATGCATTCATTATGCAGTCATAGACCATTTAGTGCACCTTCATGATGCATTCATAATGTATTCATAGACCTTTCAGTGCACCTTCATAATACATTCATAATGCATTCATAGACCATTCAGTGCACCTTCATAATGCATTCATAATGTATTCATAGACCTTTCAGTGCACCTTCATAATACATTCATAATGCATTCATAGACCATTCAGTGCACCTTCATGATGCATTCATAATGTATTCATAGACCATTCAGTGCACTGTCATAATGCATTTATAGAACATTCATAAGCAGCATGTAACATCCTAACATATCTAAACAGCTTTAATAACAAACATTAAATGATAACAACAAATATTATAATCATAAAATCATATAATGTTTATTTATGTTTAAGCAGTTAGGGTATGTTACTGAATATTGTATATTATTAGCACTTTTTGCAATTACTGTAAATGTAGCAGCTGGGTGCCAAATTGCGCTGTGAACTGATCCTCTGTGTAGGTTGATGGTCTGTTTTCTGTGACACAACATGTACACTGTTGTCGCCAATGGGAAGAACATCCACCAAATATGGAACAGTGAGGGAACCGTGTCATTTCCAGTAAAGAGGGTACAGGCGATAAACTGTGGCCTGTCCAAGTCTGCGTTTGGGACCCTCATGAGAGACACCCTGCTTCCTGCCTGCAGGTTACCCTTCCAGATAATGCAGCTCTTAGCTGGACGCCTATTCCTAAGCAAACCTATTCAGTTTTAGTACCACGGCATAATAAACAAACCGACTAAAGTTCCTTAGCACAAATAAGAAGACATCAAAAACGTGACATTTGATTCATTGTGGGCCGTCCCTCGGTGTTCAGACCCTTCCGGAACATGCTGGCCCTTGGTGTGTGCATGATTACATGTGTATCTATGTATAGAGTCTCGAATGAGGCCTCCGTGTGTGCGTGCATGTGTGTGCGTGCACGTGTGTGCGTGCTGTGCTGTAGAATCTCCAAGACGGTGACCTCGTCTCTGTGGCTTGTATCCAAGGGTGACGACTATGGCAGCAATCGGACACGTCTCACGGGTCTCTACGCCTTGGACACTGCCTTATAAGAACCTATGGGAGCGGCATATCCCTTTAAGACATTCACTGGGATCAGCTCGCTACCGGGGCAGGAGTAGGGCTAAGCTTGTTGATCCTGAAGTACTGCTAAGTTTGCTGTTCCAGCTGAGCGCTTATTCTGTAGCTCCTGAAGGGAGACAGGCCTTCAGCTAACAATACAAGCGCTATTATGATTACTGAACCCAGGCTTGTGATTCGCCAGCCTGGATGCAAATGTGATGCTTGGTTCAAATCCACCTCCACATACAGACCTACAAGAAGCAAATTTCCTGAACCAGGGGTGGCCAATCTTACCCGCAAAGGGCCGGTGTGTATGCAGGTTAAAACATAATAATGTATTTCTCTTCATCATTATAGATAGTTAATCTATAATGGAATAGATTCCATTATAGGGATGGGATAGTTAATTCTAGAATGGACATATAATTGCACATAAAAAAAAAACCTTGGGCGAATGCGTGAGCCAATCCTGCCACGTTCTCACTACCAGACCTTCAGTGTGCCCTATGACATCACTCAATCAGCTCTCCTACCCCCACATGTGATCATCATCATAACCCAAACACGACAGGATCCCTCCCCCATGCACAAATGTTGCAATACCAGAACAGCGTACCTGACATTCACATGGATCGATTTTGTTTACAGGGAGGCCATACCAGCACTGTTATGGACTGTGCTTAAATGTGGGGCATCAAAAATGGAAACAGGAGAACGACCAGTAAGGCCTCACTATGCCATATTGAACTCAGAGGACAGGACTATGGCGGTCACTAGCTATTATGGGCTTGCAGCTGGATGGGAGGGGCTATATGCTGTAAGGAGGGGCATTTCAACAGCCACTCGTTTTGCCACCAAAGGCATCCAGTGATGGCACCCAGAATAGCCCATGGGTGTGTATATAGCGAGGCATCATGCCCCAGGGCACCAGAAAGCGGATCTCACTGCCAGCAGAGGCTTAGATGCACCACTGAAGCGGGCGATCGGCGTCTCACAGAGATCTCTGTCTGCTTTTGACCTGCACAGAAGGCAACGTATAAAATCAAGAAAAATCCGGAACTGGCAAAGACAAAAGACCTTTGGGATTCTACAAACAGTCTGGATTTTTGTTTCCTGTTCCTGTTCCTCATTCTGAACTAAACACAGAGGAAACGTCACCGTGGAACATGAAGGACATTCTCCAGTACCCCACATCCCAGTTGCCACGCTACAGCCACTACTCGCCCGTGCAGTACAGGAAGAGTAGCTACACAGCTACGCTGTACACCCCCACACACTACACCCCAACAGCACATTATACCCCCAAGCAGAACTCATCTACGCGCTACACTGCTTCAAACTACACTCCTTCACATTACACTCCTTCGCATTACACCCCTTCGCATTACACCCCTTCGAAATGCGGCCGCACGCAGTGCAGGTCCTCCCCTGTGGCACTCAAGCCGGCTCGCAGTGTCCGCTTCCCCAATGACATCGTCTTCCAGGATCACATCCGGCAGGGCGACCTGGAGCAGATCGGGCGGTTCCTCAGGGCTAAAAAGGTGCGACTAGACACCATCTACCTGTCGGGTGAGTGCTACCTGGCCCTCGAGAATTGCATTTTTTGACCCTTTTCAGACCAAAAGGAATCAGTGTATCCTTTGAGAGGGTCTAATATGCAGGGGCAGACTTGTCATAAGGGAAGTGTAGGCATCACATAAAACCCAGTAAAACCAGGGTCTCCATGACAACAGAATTTGTCAGAATTGCATAATATGATCATTTACCTTAACCCAACATGTCAGGTATTGGGATTTTTTATCAGTGTAGACAAATTTGTCCCCCACCCAGGCTTAGAGCCCCCAAAGCCTTAAGTCCACCCCCTGCTACTTTGGCAACACGTCTAAGCTTCCTGATGCTTGATTGGCTGATAAAAACTGGTAACAAATATGTAGTTGAGTCTGAAGTGTGATTTTGTCGGCAGGTAAATTGTTATGGGACTGGCCCACCTGATTTTCTGCCGGCCGCTATCTCACACTATGATTTCTGGCTCTGTTATTGGTGGAAACACGGGGATTTGTGTGAACTGAGATCCGATACAATACCTTGTGCTTCCAGTCAATTCCCTTGAGCGTTTCCCAGTTCAATCACATTTAAAGCAGGGATTTGTTTCTCCCACCAAACACTGCTACAAAAATGGCAGCAGATAATGCATAAAGCGAGGAAGTAGTTAGCATGTGTCTGACCCACCACCCCCCCCCCCCCGGGCTGAGAGTGCTGTGTGCTCCCCCCAGGCATGGCGGCGCTCCATGAGGCCGTGCTGACAGGGAACCTGGAGTGCGTGAAGTTGCTGGTGAAGTACGGGGCTGACGTGCACCAGCGGGATGAAGACGGCTGGACACCGCTGCACATGGCGTGCAGCGACGGCTACCCAGACATTGCCCGGTGAGTGGCTGTGCGGTGTCCCGTGACGTCAGCATCAAGGCCGGCACATGTCCGCACGTAGACCACGACTGTGACACATGCTGAACTGTGCGACCCCACCATTTCCAGGTACCTGCTCTCCCTGGGGGCCAGTGTGGAGGCAAAAAATGAAAGCGGGGAGAAGCCGGGCGACCTCATCGACGCTGACTGCAAGGAGCTGGTTCAGCTGTTTGCGGTGGGCTGTGCCTGAAGCCAGACTGGGCATGGCCAACTCAGATGGGGCGTGGCCTACTCAGACTGGGCGTGGCCTACTCATGGGGCATGGGCTTACCTGGGCTGCAGCCCAGAGGCCTCTACAAAACCACCACCCCCTTGTCAACAGCCTTTACCATCACCAGCCCCCAACACCCCCTTCCCTGTTGAGGACTGCACCATCAAAGTCAATAGCAGGGGGGTCTCTGAGAACTAAAATAGCCAAGGGGCCTTCAACCAAGTTAATCTCCGGCTCCAAACGTGCACCCTAACACCACCTAAGGGACAGTAGTGACTGGACTGTGGCAGTGATGTAAACCCAGCTTCCTCTTTGAGATGTTAATCCACTTAGTCGACTGGGAAGGTCGCCACTATTTGGATGCCTTGTAATACAGACCCCTTGATCCTGTCAACCTTGTTAACCCTCCATGTATGTCTTAACTTCTGATGATCTCTTACGTAACCAATCCAGTTTGTTCCAGCCACCTTGCCGGCTACTTGAATGTAGTAGCTTGTGAGGGCTTGATGCATTTGGACAAAATGTCACATTGTATAACGTGACCAGTGTATAATGAAAGCGTAGAAAGTGTGATCTCATAGGTGTGCATGCTTTAGGAGAGAATATAGTGTGTTTTCTGTTCTGCTGTGCAGACTGCTGGACACTTTAATACTTGTATGAACAGTTCACTATAAATAGTGAATGAATAACTGAGAGGACAGTTAAAAACAGTAACAATAAATCAGTGATATTGTAAATCATGACAGGAGTGCAGTTCTGACCTGCTAACAATGTATGTTATGTGATGAACTTGCAAAGTCTCCTTAAAGTCTTACGGTTTTTTTTTAAGTGCAATTTTTCATATATAAAGTTTCTTTTTATGATAGTTTTATAAACATGTTTTGTATTTGTGTGATATTTTATGCAGGTTATCAAATTTCACTACCTGGGCATTATACTGTTACTCAACACAGTCATTAGTAGATTATAAATAATAGGCATTAAATATTATTTGAATAATATTTTCTTCCATTCTATGGCTATATCCTGGGGAGGGTGACAGGGATTTGCATGAAATTTAAAAATACAACAATAATGGCTATAACAATAAAACATTAATAGTTCATTCCTACACTACCACAAAGACAAATCAAGTATTCCACCACATTTACCCACGTTATAATTTTAATGTTATAATGTTGACTGATTTAGAATATAGGTAGTTATATATTAAAGATATATTTCTATCATAAAGCCAATATAAGCACTTGGACCACAAATCAAAAACTCAAAAAAAAAATCAAAACAGATTTCATCACCTGCCATTTGTCTAAATTGGAAATAGATAGACAGATATATAGATAGATAGATAGATAGATAGATAGATAGATAGATAGATAGTCTGCTTTTATGATGTGTGAGTGCCTTTGTTTTGTTTTCTTCTGTCTATTCCTGTTATGATATGTTACAAGAATAAGAATCCCTATGTACTGACGTAATGTTAAATCTTGAATGAATGACCGGCCGAACGGACAGACGGGTGACATAAACGCGCACGGTTAATTGACACTATGACCACTTCCGGAACACAGCGCGAGGCGGTCCTCGCGCAGATAAGCCGCGCGCTCTCTGCCCCGGAAGCTCTCGGTTGGTATTAGCAACGCTACGGCCGGTGAAGGCCTGCGCCAAAAGGGAGCCAAGAAAAATAACGATAACAAAGAAAATTAATCGAGTCGTCTAGAGAGTGTAAGTTAAAGTATCTGCGACTCATAAGGGTCCGTGATTCTGATTGTTTTTTAGAGAAAAAAAGACACTCTAATGTGTCTGTTTATTATAAAGCCTTAGTCTGTGTTGTTATTCTTTGGCTAATCGGCTAACCAGTGTCTCAGTCTGACACAATATGCGTGCTTATAAAGATGACATCGCTGTGTCTGGCGTAAAAATACCTGTATAATAAAAATGGTGTTGAGTTGGAAGGTAACGTTAGCCGAGAAATGTAAAAAGGCATCTGCATTCCGCACTCTGGTACGTGTAACTGCTGTGCGATATGGTTTAGACTTTAGAAAACGGATTCGAAAATCATTGCATCTTGTTTTCCTGTCTCTGCTGACCCCGATGGGTGTTTTTCCCTTTAGTTAACTACCTAGTGGGATTTTTGCCGACCAAAAAGCGGGTACACTGGCTTTCACTCAAAGGTACCTTTGAAGATTGCAGATTAGCTTGCAAGCTTTATTTTTCATTATCCGCTACGGGCCAGTCTGAGCATTTTTATAATCCCAATTTTTTAAAAAACGTTTAATCTTACACATCTAGTTTGAATGAAATATCTTTCGACACACATACCGGTGCGCCTGTTTAGTAGTTATAACAACTGCATAAATTATGCTTGTTTTAGAGGCGATTTAATAGATTTCATCCGGCAGAAAACCTAGTTGCATCTGTGCTGTCTTTCCTCTATCAGAGGGGCTGCGGGGTCTCTCATCAGCATCAGAGCAGAGAGGGTGTGAATCAGCTGAAGGGGGTTAGAGATGAACAGGTGAGCCCATGTACAGGTATGCTTAATATCTGATTAATGACAAGGAAGGGCCTGCATGAAGTGCTGAGTGATGGTCCATGTTGGTTTTAGCTCTTCCTCCCCTAGAATGGTCCTGAGCTACAAGCGGACCTCCAGCCCTCGATCTCCACCTACCTCGGGAGAGCTTTACACGCCGGCTCATGAGGAGAATGTGCGCTTCATACATGACAGTGAGTCGCAGCACGTCGCTGACTGAGTCTGTACTGGATTGGCTGTCGCCCAGCTGGAGTTGGTTACACTATGGTGTGGTGGATAAGGACTGGGAGGGGTAGGCCGGGACGATCTTGGGCTCACAGGCTCCATGCGGGGTATCTCTGTCTCATTCTTGCAGCATGGCAGTGTGTGCTGAAGGATATTAAGTCTCCACAGAGCAGTGACCGAGGACCTCAGGAGTACGTGGAGAAGAATCCAAACCCCTCCCTGCTCTGTGAGTACCGTGCGTTTCATATTTCAGCGACATCGACACAAAAAAACACTCGCGAAGCAAAGACGACCTGCTTCTATTTGTTCTGACATGTCAGTTGTTGGAAAACGAGCTTTATTTTTCTGTCCGTGTGAAGCGTTAATTCATTTCCTTGCCCTGCAGCTTTCACGCCAGTTGACTTGAGTGACATCAAGAAACGGAACACACTGGACTCCAAGAAGTCTTAGTCTTCCATCAAATTGTTTTAGTCCAACTGGTTTTTATACCCAATCTTCCATTGGAACTTCCACTGGTTTCCTCTGTCAGGCAGCCAGTTCACCCTGACAGTTGTTGCCAAGTAAGCCTCAGCCTCCCCAGACCTCCAGACTGGCAGTTTGCGTTCCTTCATCCCTCAGGGTGGCTTGAATCCTGTCACTTGGAGGCGTCTTATCACCCTCTTTCTGCATCAACCAGTTTTGCTTACACTCCATAATATATCCTCTGCACTGGAGGATGGGGAGAGAAATATGGCTGGAATACCGTGTTCAGGGATTTTCTCTTTTCCCCACATCATTTTTTATATTATGATGTAAATGAATATAAATTTCTTGGGAAAAAATATATATATAAATGGGACCAACGCTGTGAGTAAGCATTGATTGGCTGAAGAACGATCTCTCCTGCATGATGCCCAAAGGACTCTCAAAAAAACTGGTTGGTTTCCCACCACAGTCTGTATTGTACAGAAGCACAAATGCTGACCTGACCTTTCATTTTGCCACGTACTTGAGGGTTGGGTGTCCTAAATGTCAGTGTTTTGGACATTGAACAGGAACAATGGCTTTTTATTTTAAACTTAAGTCTGCGTCATATCACTTTAGGTCCTGATCAAATATTGGAAACGAGCACTGCTTTTTTTATCCAGGAAACCCTACCTATGTACCGAGAACCTATTACTATGTGTTGGTCCAAATATCGGATTGTGATGCATGGTAACACTCAAATGGCTAAACCATGGCATTTTCTGCAAAAGAGGTTCGGCTGTTTTATTCCTGAAAAAATACTCCGATTGGCCCTTGTATTGGCAGTCATTAATTTTTAACTGCACTTGGATGTTTTAAATAAATAATTTTGTTTGCATGGGATGTACTTATCCTGGGAGTATAACCTGTAAACCTTGCATCTGTTCTAAATTACAATAGTAGCCTGTCCCTGCTCTTTCTAGACTGGTCTCTGACCTGAGGGAAATGAAAAATAATGAAGGAGGATTGAGACTATTGGGATGGTGAATGACACCATGGAGGTGACCCCAGTAATGATTTTAGTACTGAATTATTCCTTGGGGAATCGAAGAAGCAGCTAAGAAGCTATGCAGTCTTGGGTTTACTTGCTGTGGAGTTTTGTCCCCTCTGTGACCAAGGAGGGGGAGAATGAATACAGGTTTCTCAGTGTATAAAACAAAAGCTAAAGATTTTGTTATTGGGTTAGAAGATGATTTGTTCTGTTACAAAGACATAGGGGAAGAATAAGGAAGCACCATTTACTGTCCTCTGATGTTCAAAGGTGGGAATTTCCACGTCAAACTTAGCACTGTTCGTTATTCTCTAAACAGAAAAGGCAGAAAGTTATGCAAAATTAAATACATAATTGTGTTGTAACTGGGAATGTGCTGCATAAATAAAGCTTTCTTAAGTCATGTTTTGATATATATGTCCAATATAAATTCCATTAGAAACAATATGCTTAGAGAATTTTTTTGAATGTTTACAGCATACGAGCACAGTTAATGGAGAAGAAAAGTCACCACCTGCTTTACAGCATTAAACGTTTTTAAGGTCCCGTAAAGAATAAGGGTTAAGGGTCAAAAACACAGTTACACTATTAATCCACCATGCATGGGCATTCTGTCATCCCCTGGCCAATTTATTAGCGATACAGCTTAACTATGTGTCGTGGTGGGAAGAATCCTGTGTGAACAGAGGGAGAACATGAAATTTCAGAACTGGGGTAGGAATCAACCTTTGGAGGTATGAGGTTATACCACTGGCCACCATTTAGTACTTCGGTACTTTGGGGTGAGACTTCAAACGCTTTCTTTGTCGATTGGCTATGCAAATAGCCTGCCTATGAAACCCAGTACAGCTGCCGTCTTGAAAAAGTTCTGAATTTTGAAATTAACGATAATGTAAAAAAATAAAAGTAATAGTAATGGATGCGTGGAAAAAAGAAGATACTACGAGATCAGGATGGCATGAAAAGAAATAAAGTATTTTGTAAAATATACTAGGAATGCACAGTATGTTGGGATATTTATAAAGCAAAAAAAGGACTTCAAATTTCTCACAAACCAATCTAGGAGTGATTTAAACTGCAAGGATGAAAATGATTACAATTGTCTTGGAGAACGCATGCAGCACTCATGCAAAAGTAAACTTTAAACTGCTTTTTAAACATATACTAGATAATCTTGAAAAGAAATAATTACTATTGCAAAACTTACGTTTTTTTTTCCTATGACAGATTGAAAAATGGTTTAGCGAAACTTGACTTGAATTTAAAGTAAGAAAAAGCCTGATTTAGTATTAATATCGTGCATTGTCCAGCCTTATAATAAAGGTGCATCTCAAAAAATTAGAATATCATGAAAAAGTGCAATATATTCCATCAGTCATTTATGAAAGTGAAAATGTAATATAGTTGTCCAAAAGACGATCATCAACACCCTCCACAAGGAGGGTAAGCCACAGAAGGTCATTGTTGAAAAGGTTGGCTGTTTGCTGAGTGCTGTATCAAAGCATATTAATGGAGAGTTGACTGGAAAGGAATGGTGTTTGGGAAAACGGACACAAGCAACAAGGATGACCGCAGCCTTGAAAGGATTGTCAAGAAAAGTCAATTAAAAAAATTGGGAGAGCTTCGCAAGGACTGGACTGAGACTACTGTCAGTGCAAAAGGAGCCACCATGCATAAACGTCTTCATGAAAGGGGCTACAACTGTTACATTCCTAATATCAAGCCACTCCTGAACCAGAGACAACATCAGAAGTGTCTTACCCAGGCTAAGGAGAAAAGGAACTGAACTGTTGCTCAGAAGTATGGTACCTGGTGTTGTACTTTTGTACTTTGATTACTTCAGTGTGGTGTATATTATGTTGGAAACCAACTTAAACATTTTACATTACATTCCCTTTCAGCAGAAAAACAAACGCTCTATTTCTTTTATAGTTTGGGCGTAAAAAACGGAAGTCGTCGTTCGTGGTGTGACGTCACGTCCTCCACAGCAATATAACAGCCTTCGCCATTATCCGTTTTTGTATTCCTAGTATCGCGCGTTTGGAGGCCATTTCTTTGTAGACGGCTATTAGATTAGTGTGATTTGTATCTAGTTTTAGTTTAAGTAGCATCGCCATGGCTGATAAGATGGATATGTCCTTAGATGATATTATCAAGCAGAACAAGCAGCTGCGAGGCGCTGGCGGGCGCGGCGGGAGAGGGGGTCGCGGCAGGGGAGGTGCGAGCGGGGGGCGAGGCGGCGGCGTCGGCCGGTTCGGAAGCAGCGGCGGAGGCTTTGGAGGCCGTGGAGGAGCATCAGGCCCTATGCGGAGCCGACAGAACCTGACCCGGGGCAGAGGCAGACCCACGCCGTACAGCAGGGTAGGGGAAAGCGAGGAAATGGGCAGAAAAGGAGAAATCGTGGCGCCTCAATGCCTGAGTCTTCGGTCCCATTTTTTTTCTTCATTTCTAGCTAGCTGAAGCAATGTAGCTAGCTAATTTCACTGGAGTTTCTCTGGAGTCGTAATGAAAGAAAGTTGCTGTATTTGATGTCCTTATTTGTTGCCTAGACGAGGAGAATGTCATGTTTGTGCCTCCCTTTGTAACGTTAGCCAGCCTAACGCAGTAGAAGCGTTACGGTGGATAAGAGCGCCTGCAGCGCCATTTTGAATCACCCGTTCAAAACAAATACATCTGTGCTGCAGTGTTTTTTATCTTTATTTTTTACTTTAATATTTTGTTTGCGGCGAAACATTTTCGTGAAGAGTATTTCGGCTGCTCTCGAAGATGAGGATGGACGGCGTGCCGCTCCGTTGAATGAATTGCTCTTTTGTGCCGGCGTCCCATTGCATTACGGCTCGGAAACCGGCGCAGTCTGTGGGCAACTGGAGGATATGGCCAAGACATCAAGCATTCTCCTGGTCGAGGAAACATGCGAAACTCCGTGTGCTTTTGCCGATTCGGGAGCAAAATGGCGTTACTACAAAATGGACGCTCACACAACTGGGCTGCCATTGCTTCAGACGAATCCCCCGAGCCAAGTGCAGCCGGTTTGGGCAAGACGACATATGAAGGAACCAGATCGTCTGTGACTGAGCTGAGGCGCCGACGAAGAGGGGATCTGGAGGCGACGCGTTGTGGGCAGCGGGTTCAATGAAGTGATTGGAATCGTTCAGCCGTTTAACTATGTGGCTGATGTGGTGGCGAGCGATTCGGCGACAAAATGGTACTAAAAGGGTTGAATTGGCACATGCAGGATAAAGGGACTGGCACAATAACGAGGGCTGACTGCGCCATTGATCTATTACCGGCGCATTTTGTTTTTAAGATGTCGAAGTCAGGGCTCCTAGAATTCAAAAAGTAGTTATTTTATTCAAATCCATTACTCAGAAGTTGAGGGAAGGCTTGTTTTGAATACTTGAGGTGTATGACTGTAGAGGGTGTGGGTGCAGTTACTTTTAAATGGTGTTTGTGGCCCAGGTGTATTATTCGGTGGTTTTGTAGCTGGGCTGGATGAACCAGTAGTGAGCGTGTGACTCTTGTGATCCTCCACAGCCCAAGCAACTCCCAGACAAATGGCAACACGACCTGTTTGATGGGAGTTTCAGTGCCAGTGCTGGGGGTGGTGTGGAGACCGGGGGAAAGCTGCTGGTGTCCAACCTCGATTTTGGAGTGTCTGATGCAGACATCCAGGTAATGGCCTTTTTCAGTGGCGTCTGGTTCTGTGGAGGATCATGCAGCGATCCTCCATGATCTCTTATACAGTCTTAGCTGATTGGGTAGCCATCTGCGGCCTTTGCCAACTTGCTGCATAAATGCGGTTGCAGGAGCTGTTTGCAGAGTTCGGTACATTGAAGAAGGCGGCGGTGCACTACGATCGGTCCGGCCGCAGCCTGGGCACAGCAGACGTCCACTTCGAGAGGAGAGCTGATGCACTCAAGGCCATGAAGCAGTACAATGGCGTCCCACTGGATGGTGGGTAGATCACGTTGAACTCTGCTTTGTGTGTTTGCATAGTGGTGAAAGTGATCATTTGTCAACAGTTATGTGAGTGGCTAGTTCTGCAATAAGTGTCTGAAGTCGATTTATCTCTAACAGGTCGCCCAATGAACATCCAGCTTGTTACATCACAGATCGACACGCAAAGGCGTGCGCCAATGCAAGGGTAAGGCTCCCTGTATGCTGGGGTATGTTCTTGACACGAGTCAAATTCACTATTAGTAGTAGTAGTTTGGAAGGGGTGACACGATCGCTCCCAGTAATGCATTCCTGTCGATCTGGAAAATTGTATATTTGGGTACGTTTGGTTTGTCGCGTGGGGGAATTCTGAAGATGTGCTTATCCGTTTTCAGGCTGAACCGGAGTAGAGTGGGCGGCGGCTTTGGAGCACAGAGACGTGGCATCCGTGGTGGTACCAGGGGCCGAGGCCGGGGCCGAGGAGGAAGGCCTGACCCTAAGCAGCAGCTGTCAGCCGAGGAACTGGACGCCCAGCTAGACGCCTACAACGCCAGGGTGCGTTAGAGCTGGGGAGTGTGTCTGTACATTACCTGAGGGGGGTGGGTATGTGGTGTATGTTGTGGACTCGGGTGTTTCCCCAACCCAGCCCTTGGGGACCTTCAGACGGTCCTCATTGTTGCTCCCTTGCTGTAGTTCTGTAGATCTCTGAACCCTGATTAACCTTTCAACAGCCCTTTAAGACTGACTGTGGTTTGCATTCCAGGTGTGTTGTGTAATTATTTCCATTTTTTTTTTGCAGATGGATACAAGCTAGGCAGCTGCTCCTCCCCCCTCCTTCAGACTGGCTGGGATTGGGTGACTTTGGCATGGGATGTTTTACAATTGGTTGTTTCTGGAGTTTTAAATTCATGTATCAATCTAATTTTATTTCCTTTTACATGCAAGTTTTTGTACCTTTTTGAAATACTGGTTGTCCGGCTGTAGAGTTTAGGGGGTGGGGCCTGTGCCCCCCCCCTCTCATTCATGTAATAAACCTGCAGTGAACATTAACTGGTTTGACTGATCATTTGAGTGGTTATGATTCAGAATTTCATTGCTTGACAATGGTCTTTTTGTCCGATTTGAGTCAAATGTATCTATGAATTTACATGAAGCCTATCATTTTTATTCCAGACCAAATACTGTCCCATGTATTTGAATGTGACGCTAAGCCTGAATTCTGGATGTGTGCCGGTTTAAATGTTAGTGCTGTTCAAAGCTGCATCCTGATTTGATGAAAGCTACACTGCAGTAGCTGGCACCTGCTGATGTGATTCTGATGGTGTTAACTAGTACGTGTGATGCACCACTTTACACGTACTGCGTTTTATGAGAATTTTGGGGATAGCGCTAACAGCTCAGAATTGGAAGGGTTCCTGGAGCTGTCTACCTTTTCCAAAGTTGTTTTACTTATATTCTCATATTTCAATCCGAATCTAGGTATTATATGCCGACGGATTGGATGTAGCCTAGGTTCTAACCACTAGATGTCGCCCTCCTTTGGCTGATTCTTTTTGTGTACTATTGGAGTGTGCTTCCTATGAAACCGCTGGATGGATATAGGAGTCCTACTTGGCGAGGCTGGTGATGTTTTCAGCATTCTTTATGCGCTGTCGTTATAAGCCGGCTGAAGTGTCCCGAAGTCCTACATAGCCGTATCAAAGTAAACGTGCCCTCCGTGCGCGTTCATGTGCACTCCGCGCGGCCGCGAGCCTGTCTCCCAGGACCCCAGCCCGTGCCGTGCGCGCCGCCGGCTCCGGAAGCTGGATGCGCGGGCGGCTCTGCTTCCTCATCGCCATTCTCACCCAGGCTCTGTCGCGGCGGAGCGCGCACATTCACGCCGAAGGAAAGCCACTTGCACGGTAGGATCTGACGCCGTCCGCTGTCCTTAGTTTCTTGTGCGTTTATGACGGCTTGGTGCGGTATCCTCTGCTGGGGCTCCGGTACTGACATTACGTGTTGGATGTCGGGCTTTTCTCACTATTGTATTAATGGTTAGTACAGTGTCACCTAGGAGCGTTTCATTGTCAGTGCTTTGGGCGGGTGGCTAATTTATGCAGATCAGTGAATGCTCGTTTCATGCATTGTTTTAGACAATACACAGTGCGCGTTTAAGTTCATGACTTCATAGGGTGGATGTCTGTATTAGTTCTCGTTAAAATAACCAGGGATGGAAATTCCCAATTCCAAATAAGCTTTTGCAATCCGTGATGTGCTGTATGGAAAATAAATCTATTTAGGCATCCTAAGTTTCAATTTCACGTCGCAGACGTGATGCTCGCAGACAATGTCGCAGAGTGTATAAGAAAAGTTATTTTGTTGCTGTATTATTGGTGCATCTTGGAAGTAAAGAACAAAGAAGTTTTGTGCAGCGACAGCTAGTGCTGCTGTTCCAACGTGACTACTGGACGAATATTGACCGATGTATATTGTGTGACTCTATACAAACTTAAGAGAACCCCTCCATTCTTGTATCGGTTTGCGGGGTTGGGCTCCGGCTTCTTTCAAAGGGGGCCGCTTGTCACCGGCGTGCCCGTGAATTCATCGGATGCCGGTTCGGACGATGCGTCTCCGTAATTCAACCGGAGGAGAAAATGCCCTCCGGTTCCTTTTTGTGCCTGGTGTGGTTTTTCGAGTGGAAAAACTGCTTGCAGATGGAGGATGTGACCGGTTATGTCACCTGCGAGAAGGCGCATGTCTTCTATTAAAATGAAGACTTTAAAGGCTGTTTAAAGAAAAAATAACATATTGCGTGGCCCGTTTAGCAGCCAGATCGCAGGGATGAGCAGCAGCTGATGATGCGTGATCTGATGCGCCGGCCGGTATGCCGAAGCTCCTGGATTCTTCGGCATCCTGATCCTAATAAACCATAAGCGTAATTAATGGCCGGCCAGTTTCTTGACCGAAAATTGCTACCTAACCCCCCGCTTTCACTTTGCCATTTTGCATCGGCATCCGTGTAGTACTTCATGGCACCGGCCCTTGGCTCGGGTACCGGGCGGTGTCTGCATCTCCACGGTGGACGTTCTAGGTCTTTCTGCGGGAGACGAGGGCGGTGTCTGCAGCCGGGCCGCCCCGCCGTGCAGCTGCGCACCGCATCAATGGTCCGTTCGCCAAACTTCACATGACCGCGCGCTCGTGTTTCGTCCACGGTCTTATTCTTGCCTTGTTTTAGATGTGCAATAAAAACCTTCTACGGATGATTTCTATGACGTGCCCGTTTAATGCTTGGTGATAATGCTGTGTCAGTTAACAAAAAGCACGCCGTAGTTTATTTTGAAAAATATCTGCACCGCTTATCAAAGACGAGCCACACGCTGAACAAAGAGGGCAAACTCCCCAGGTAAGGTCCTTATATGGCTCCCTATGGGGCAGTCTGACCTTTTAATAAGTCTACAGAGGATGGGGGAAGGGGGTAGCTGAAGTCTGGATGTGTTGCTGTGTCATAGATGTATGGGCCAGTTTTCGACCATATTTGCACCCAACTCGGTTCTTAATTTATTGGCAGGATGTTGTACAGTTTCCAATGTTTACTGGCATCAGAAAATGTTATCGTATATTATTACTCTGACGTCGATAAGCAGTCAGTAGATAGATGTATAATGATATTAATAACAATGGTGATGGGTCTCTGTAGTTCTTAACTACTGCACCCTCTAGTGGCCAGTATAAGTGCTGCATTCCCAGAATCCTGTACATGTCAGTGAGTACCTTAGGCTGATGATAACCTCAGCTCACTCCTGCTTTACTGCCATCTGCCGTAGCCTCGTAGGGGCCTGTATTGATCCAGCAGCTTAATGCTCTGTGGCAGCCCAACGGAGTTGGTGGGGAGGACCAGGCGGGGTCCCTGTGTTCTCCTACATCTGGAAGTAAGGGTAGGGTCACGCGGACGTAGGCGGAGAGCCATAGCATGTCTAGCATTGCCGTCACCCTCTGTTTTTTTTTGGGGGGGGGGGGAATGTAACCAATTAGTAAGCCTTCAAGAATCTTCTCTCCTTTGTCGTAGTTTTTCTGAGGTCTCGTGGTTTTTTGCCATAAAAATAATGATAATAGAATGTGTAAAATGTTGGAATGAGCTTTCCCTGTGCGCAGATGGCCACTAATCTGGAAGTGATACATTACTTGTCTCTAGGTCCAGGTGTCTCCTCTCTTTTCAAGTTGCTCTTATTTATCCAGAAGGATGTTTTAAGGGGCCCATTTTGCTAGTTCTTTAACCGCGGTGGAGATGCCCTGCATGGCGTCGGGGTTTCTGTCCCACCACGTGCAGCTTTGTGGTGTCCAGGGTTGAGACTCTGCTCTGTTTAGCGCCCGGGCACGTTTGCAAGGCATGATGGGAGGCGTGGGAGTCCAAGCTTTCCTACCACGACGGCACTCTGCTGGTCCTCGAACTCCACCTGGATCGCAGCCAGCAGCACAGGACCCGTTCAGTAGGGTGTCCTTTTAGCAGATGTAGACAGTACCCAAACTAAAGCCCATTCGGACGCCCTCCTGCTTGCGTTGTCTGGGACAGGGCCATATGTTTCGGATTAATCAGAAGGGGGCCCCTTCAGATGTGGGCGTTACTGTTGCTTATAAGGGGGTGTGGAGCCTGGGACCAGCGTCTTTCTCTCAGAAATGCGCCGGTTGTATTTGTGGTTTGGGTATCCCTCTGTTTAATGTCAGCACTGCAGTGTTGCGCTGCTCTGACGTAGCACGGGACAGGAAGATGACCAGCGGTTTCCAGGAAACACAGTGGTTCTTGATATGGGCCACAGGGCCCTTTGAAGTCGGCCTGGCGGCGTGACCTTTTAAGAGACACCTCCCCCCCCGTACCTGCTCGTTTTACACCCCCCTGTGAGCTGGCTGTTTGTCACCGCCTCTGTCCTCTGCCTCTGGCTCCTAGCCGGCCACTTTTCGAGGCGCGATCCCAACGCGCGGTGATCGGATGGCCGCTGGATTCGATCATCGTGTCGATGAGACAGGAGGGTCTTTGTAACACATCTGACTCACTTCAAGATGTCCTTACTCCCCTCCCCCCAGCGACGTTAAGACCAGTGGATCTGTCTGGAGGAGATTTTAATGTCATGGAAGGTGAAAGGCAGCCCCACACCACACTCTGGTCCTGCTCCTGGTCCTGCTCCTGGTCTCGGAACAGTGGTGAGCCGGTGTGGTAATTAAGCTGATCGGTGGGGGAGCTGAGCACCGCTGCAGGGCCAGTTTCGTAACTGCGCCTCCCCCTCATCTCACCCTTCCCCGAAGCCCCTGTGATTTCACCGTTAAATAAAGGCTGCAGGGAACACGGCGGCTCTGTGTGCAGACGGTACGGAACGCGTCAGACACAGTACTGGGTCGAGGTGGGAGTTCCTGATGTTTTCCAACAGAATAGGGTGTTTGGCGGGGGGTTGGGGGGGGACAGAGTCGTTAATCTGAAGCTGAGGCCCAGGGTTATGATATGAATGGGGTGTTGTCCCAGAATTCTGTGACGCTGCCAGCAGGACTTTGTGCCTGTGAAGTGTCATTTGGACCAATGACTCAAGCGCGGTGTCAGTCATGAATGGCGTAATCGCAGCCTGACGCGCACCGGATCACCGGTACCAAACGCCTTGAAGGAATGTCTGGCGGACGTTTAGCGGTGCCGTTCCGGACAGTCGGCCCTGTTTCCGCCGATTGTTTATTCCTGTGACACCCAGAGGCTCGTCGGCCGGATTTCTATGGAGGCATCGGTGTCGGACTGTAGAGAGCGTGCTACTAAGCGACTGACTAATTACCGTTCTGTGATACTCTGCAGGGAAGGTACCTAATCTAAATACCTCACAGAGCGCCTAACTAGTGGCCATATTGCCCTAGTGTATGGACTAAGGGGTTAAATAATCCAAGGTAAATACTGGACTTTGTTGAGCCTGATTTCAATGCCCGGACACACACACCCCTTAGAGAGGAACCCAGCACTTAAAATTCCACAGTAGTGGAATGTAGTGTCCCTTATAAAAATCACTCACACACAGGGTATGAGCTGTAGAAACCGGTCCCCCCCCCTCCCCGGCCATGGCTTAACGGGAACATGTGGGGTCCCCTGTGGAAAATCTGCGCTAAGTGTTTGCAGTTCTCTGCTGGCCCAGGGCCTGGGGCCGGGGTAAACAACGTGATCTTTTTAAAGGCAGCGTTCCAGTGCACAGCGTTCATGCAGTCAACCTGTGAAATACATCCAAGCGAAGACGCGTGGTTATGGTCAAGGTCGGCGCTCTGCTGACCGCTGCTCGATATCGCGTTATTCCCTGTCGCCACTTCCCCTGCATTTAGGTGGGTGTCCTGTGGTTCAGGTCTGCATGTGATCTCGGCATAATTAGGTTGTAAATAGGTATTTGCATAAATACATGAAAATGAATGATGTCTGTTTTTGGATTTAGGGTTCAGATTGTGAAGATCTATCCAGACTTAGCCAAAGGGACCTAAACGTAGAAATGCAAACATTACAGACCTTCATATTTGCGTAATTAAAAGTGGGTGGGCATAATAAAAGAAACAGATCTGCTAAGGAATATTGTCACTGTTCGCCTTCAGAAAAGTTTCAGTCCGTCTCGGATCGCTGCCATTGCAGTCCTTAGTGTGTGGCGGGATTTTGTGCCGACTTCATACTGTGCGGCAGAACTTCCTATACAGTTTCAGAGACGTTTAAATCTTGGAGAGGTATTTGGCGCTGGACTTTAGCCAGATGTTCAGAAAAGTACTCCGGAATTTGCTTAGCAGCGTGTCCAGGGACATTATCCCGGAATACGGGGACGGCGCTTGCATCCCAGGGTCCACATGGTCCTGTAAAATGGACTCGTATTCCTCTGCTGTTATATGACCCTGTAGAGCTGTTATCAGACCAAATGACTTCCACAAGATGGCTGCCCACACTGCTGCCGATCCCCCACATTGTGAGCTGAAAATATCCTGTGGCTTTTTCCAAACCTAAACCCACCCGGGTGCAGGAAAAACAGTGAAAGGTGACTCATCAGTTGATGTTTTTTTCTGTTGCTTAGGGGTCCAGGTTTTCTGCTCCTGTTACCAGATTAGTGCGCCGGCTCTGGATACTGGCTGTCTCTGAACGGCGGTCTTGCTGTTAATTCCAGTTTTTTGCAGGCTGCCTTCTTGTGGCGTTTAGCAGCCATCCCAGAAAAAGCAGCTGTTCCTTCTCCTGGGCAACGTCTGTGACTCTTGTTCCCCTTGACACAAATAATTGTGCAGTTCTGGTGACTGATACACCTGCAGTCCCGTCACCAAATCCTTGGCCTCTTTAGCCTCTGTTGGCCGCCTCGTGTCTCTTTGAAAACTCGCATATCAAAGTGCCCCGTATTAGGTCTCTTCTAGCTGACACACACCATTAATTGTCATTCAGCCTCAAATCGCTCAACTTCAAGCTGCGTCTGCAATTGCGATTGCTTCACTTGCAAAATCAGACATTCTCTCATGCGTCGTTTGTTATTTTGTGAGCATACTTAACTGTAATTGTGTGCATGTGTTGCAAATGTCTGATTACAGTGTCCTGGGAGATCTTAACACACAAAGGAGTCCCTTTCCTGAAAGGATTTGGCGGCATCTCGCCCCCTTCCATGTTGGAACGTTACCCATTGCCATTGTCGCTCTGCGGTGCTGGGGCGGGACACTGTTGTTCTCTAAGCCCCGCCCCCTGGCTTTTGTAAAGAAGGCCCGCCCTAAGTCCTCTTTGTCTCATGAATGGTCCCTATTGGAACCTTCACTCCCCCCTACCTTGGCCCATAAGACTTCCCAGGCCTCCTGAATGGATTTGGGGCCCGATCGGACCTGCTAGGCCCAGGTCCAAGGGACTGTAGGAGACAGGGGAGACTTTCAAACAGCAGAACCAGGACTGACAGGCTCCTCCAGGTCTCCGGCCTGGAATCTGTTTAAGAGCTACAGTCATATTCTCGATAACCGGGCCCAGTCTCTGAAGCCCCCCTGACAGGCTGTCTGCTGTTTAACACCAGCTGAGGTCATGACCATGTTGTTTAGACCACTCTGACAACAGGAGAATGGGCATTACCCCATTTCTCCTGGCAGTGGTCCTGGGAAGCAGAGATGGGACACCCTCCGACTTACTGTAAACTTGACCAGGGTGAGGCATAAACCGCGGGATACGAATCATGTGCGCGACTGTGGACAAGCTTTGCCAACGAGTCACTGAAATTGTAATCAGTGGCCAGTAGGGGGCGCCGTAGACTGAGACTCTGGGGGAAATTGACGCTCGTATTTCCATGCCCTCACAGGATCATGGCGGAGCACGACCCCACCCCCGAGCAGCTGGCCGCCATCGCCGCCGAGAACGAGAGCGCGGAGATGGTTAACTACCGTGCGCCGGCCCAGAAGTCCCTGCAGGAGATCCACGAGCTGGACAGAAATGACGAGAGCCTGAGGAAATACAAGGAGGCCCTGCTGGGCTCGGAGTCCGTCCCAGAAGGTAGGATCGTCGCGTGTGTGTGCACGTGTACATGTGTGTTGGTGGTACCCCGTGCTTCCGTCTCCCTGTCCTGCTGCTCACTGCTGACACTGATCCCAGGTCAGATCTTTGTACTGCCCCATCCTCATCCAGTTAGATGCCAACTAGTACTCTTCTGCTCATTTAGCGTATCTGACTGTCTGACTCTCCCTGCCTGGCCTGACTGTCCCCACCTGGTCTGACTCTCCCCCGCTGGCCTGACTCTCCCCGGCTGGTCTAACTCTGCCCGGCTTGGTCTGACTCTCCCCACCTGGCCTGACTCTCCCCGCCTGGTCTGACTCTCCCCACCTGGCCTGACTCTCCCCACCTGGACTGACTCTCCACGCCTGGTCTGACTCTCCCCGCCTGGCCTGACTCTCCCCACCTGGTCTGACTCTCCCTGGCTAGCCTGACTCTCCCCGCCTGGTCTGACTCTCCCTGGCTAGCCTGACTCTCCCCGCCTGGCCTGACTCTCCCCACCTGGTCTGACTCTCCCCACCTGGTCTGACTCTCCCCGCCTGGTCTGACTCTCCCTGGCCAGTCTGACTCTTCGACCACCTCACATGCACCCATGTCCATATCACTGAAGGTCCATTTACATTTCATTACCCTGCACAGAGCGTTCGGGCTTCTGTCTGTGATGCTCTGCTGCCTCGTGGACCGAGGCCGAGGCATTCACAGAGGCTCTCACCCCCTGTTTTTTTGCATCTACAGCCGACCCCGACGTCCCAAACGTCCAGGTGACCCAGCTGACTCTGGTGTGCGAGGCAGCTCCCGATGCCCTGACTATCGACTTGCAGGGTGAGTGGGAGAACCGTTCCTTGGTTTGTCTCCGGCCTGTTCTGATCAGAACTTTTATTGGCGGGGGGTCGGGGCTTTTGGATGTTTTCCTTCAGTATGAATGTCAGCCCCTGCTCTGTCCCTGCTCTTTGTCTAGAGGACCTGGAGCCTTTGAAGAAGCAGTTCTTTGTGCTGAAGGAGGGCGTGGAGTATCGGATAAAAATCAACTTTAAAGTAATTTTCACTTCATCATAAACTATTATTATTTTTTATTTTAATAGTTGTAGGGTCAGTTCAAACATGTGCGATGGTACTATATGCACAGTTTGAGGAGGTCTCTTCATATCTTCTGTAGTCCCTTTGATTGGATGATTTTTTTTCTGTCATAATTGAATATTTGCACAATAAAAACTACATGAACTTTAATGGGAAGAGTCTTTTCCCAAGCAAGCTTGCAATTAAGAATGGTTTATTTTAAAAATAAAAAAGTTGTTCTTGCAAATGGTGGTTATGCATGGGTGTCTCTGCAGGTGAACAGAGAGATTGTTTCGGGCCTGAAGTACATACAAGAGACATTCAGGAAAGGAGTTAAAAGTAAGTTTCTGCATTTTGTTTGAAATATCATTCTCATTAATTGTCCTGGCCCTGCTCTCTCAGTTACACATCGCTTTGAATAAAAGTATCAGCTGAATAAATGTAACGTTGTTTGGTTCAAGTAGAGGTACTGGCTGGTGCAGATCACTTGCTAGATAATGAGCAGCCCAGTGGTTAGTTTAAAACTAGTGATGTCAAACGATTAAAATTTGTAATCAGATTAATCACAGGGTTGTTGTGGATTAATTTTGATTAATCTCAATTAAATATCATTCATTTTTAATCTATATTAATAACATTTAATTTTGCATGAGCAAACAGACTCAAGAAAAAAGGGAATATATATGCACTTAACATGTTTATTGAACATCTTGAACATGAGTCGGATGCATTCCATCTGCCACAGAAGTGCAATACCATGGACTCATATCAAAAAGCAAGATTTTTTTGCTTAGCCGGACAACTTGTCGGATTTAAGGTACCTCAGTTTAAATGGTCTTTATCTTCGTTCACTTACAATTAATCAGAACTACCGTAAATCCGACAAATAATCCGACTAATCATGAAATCCAATTCTAGCCCGATTAATTGTCATTGTTAGCAATATCAGTTGATAACACATTACGTGCGGTGCTTTACATATAAAACTCCGTAGCAACATGTCCACAGAAGTTGGACGGTATAGTGTGTGTGACCGATTTAATGAGCCACAAATGAGAGGTAGTGCTTAAACAGTATAAAACTACAACTTTCCCTTCTGTTGATAAAAGGTGCAGCCATCTTGGATTCTGAACTCGGGATGCTCTGTGCTGCTCCGAGATATTTCTCGGATCTCTGAGAAACGGGAGCGCGCATGTTATCACTTCCGGTTTCAAAACTCCGGAATCCGACTCGGAATACGAGTTCCGAGGGCAAATGGAATGCACCAAAACTGCCTGAAATGGGTTGAGAGACATTTCAGGGATTTTGAGTCATTCTGCGCTGCAAATGGGTTAATTGCGTAAAAAATTTGAATCAGATTAATCATGATGATGGATTAATCCGCGTTAACCCGTTAATTTTGACAGCCCTATTTAAAACCTAAAAATTCAGACCGTACATGGGACACAACAAACAGTAGCTTTAATCAGAGGGACCCTCACTAGATCACATGATCACAGCATGACCACCCACCGTTAGCCATCATTAAATGGGCTCTTTGTTGAACCCGGAGTGTCATTAGGTTACCTCGTTCACCGCAGCCGCTGCTTCTCTGTACCTTTGTCCTTTCCCGCCCACACAGTCGACAAGTCGGCCTACATGGTGGGCAGCTACGGGCCGCGGCCAGCTGAGTATGAGTTCCTGACCCCCCTTGAGGAGGCACCCAAGGGCATGCTGGCTCGGGGCACGTACAACATCAGGTCCCACTTCAGCGACGACGACAAGCACGATCACCTCTCCTGGCAGTGGACCCTCGACATCAAGAAGGACTGGACGGACTAAGGCCCGCTCCGCTCCGCTCCTCTCCTCTCCGCTCCGCCTCTGTCTCCCCCAGCTCCATCCACTTCCCCTCTTCATTCCTCCGTTGTAATTTCGGCTGTAACGGCTGCAAAGAAAGGTCCCCCTGCTCTCCCCGACACTCCCTTTGCGGTCGCTCTCTTTCTTCTATGCTTGTCGTGGAACATCGTCAGCTCCCATGTTCTAAGAAATGAAATAAATCTGGAATAAGTCTTGATCCGGGCCACGGCGATGGGGGGTAGGTAGGTCAGGCATAGAGTAGCATGTCTGTATATAAATCACACAATACTCCTGTTGTGGTTCTGACAAGCCCACAGCGTGGCCTATATATAAAGAGAGTACTGGTGCCACTTGGGGTCAAAGGTCCCCCCCCCCCCACACTCCACTGTCAGAGCCCTTACATCTCTCTTACACGTGTGTCTTAGGGTTTTTAATTGCAATTTTAACGATGAAATGTCATAAGATGTTTTTTTGTGTGTGTTCCTCAGTTTGTCAAACTTCCGATAGCTTCCTGTCCTCAGGGGCCCAAATTGGGGGGGGGTCTGTCCAGGCTTATTCCTCAGGAGGTGAACACTGTGCATTCGGGCAGATCTCAGTTCTGGGACATTTCGTCTACGATAATGTTGACGGGTGTCCGATGGTGTGAATTCTGAAGGTGATGGTTTGTGGCGGGGGGGG